GCTGTCTCTCAGCGAGTACACAAAAGATTGTCATCGTTTCTTGGAAAGAAGTGAATTTATTTATCAGCGCAATCGATTCGACGATCTCCAAGTGGGTTTCTTTGTATGGAGACTTTCTCAATTATCCAAGCCTCCCTAAGGGAAGTACCGGAAATTTTTCATGATGTTAGGAAACTTTAATTATAGCTAACATGTATAGTTATATAAATCGTCACAACAGTTACGAGTGTTTCCAGTAATTACGGCAAATGAGGTACACTTAAATAAGGTTAATCCTACTTTACAAGAATGGCTTATTTAATGTAGTGGCACCACGAGCGATGTGCTTAGCACTTACATAGTTTGTTCATGGTGAATTTTCCATCAATTGACAGTGCAATACCACCAGAGTTTACAAGTTACAGCTCTTCACGAAGGATATTTGAACAACAAGATTGTTCAATGAGATAGTCAAAGGATACACCATTTCGAAGCAGGAAACATCAATGTTTATCAGGAAGCGGAAAAACTTGCACAACAGAACATTTACAGCTACTATTTCACCAAGAAACAGTGGGATTTACCGTCACATTACAACACCCTCACGGTTGAAAGGCGAACATGTTTTGTGACGGGGATTCGAACCCGTGACCCACAAATTGAGTCGTGCGCTTTAACCACCAGGCCATGCCAAGCCTATCTGCAAAGTGAAGGCTATGGATACGAAAGTGAACCACAAGCCTAAAAACAATTGCGATGAAGCTGAGTATACCTTCTGGTACTGTTACTAAAGTAATAAACAAAATACGAAAACTGACAAAGGCTCGCAAGCCAAAAGCCCAAAAACTTCCACACACACCTCAAAATTAACGACTAATTTCATGAGAAAGATGGTCGAAAACGTTGGAATCACAGCAATGCTGTTTGATCACATACCTGTCAAGTACCCTGATGTAACTCCAACGGATATTTGCCTGTTTGATTTGCCTTAACGTGGTCTTGGAAGTTGGCGTAGATGTAAAATGGAAGGTGCGTGTAAAGTTCCTACAGATGTATGGCATGTGATTAACTTCGTTGTTTGTCCCACGTAGAAGCTTCCTTTAATATAAATTGCAGGGTCAGATATCATTGTATATATCGTGGATATAAGGTTGAGCATGGACCGACGATGGGTCCAATTTTTCCAAGAGCAGCATGGATCTTGGAACATCGTTCTTATAAAGTACAACTATCTTTCAGTAGCATACATTAAACTTAAACAGAAAAAAAATCACGTTTTGCATAATTAGTTTTACCTTCATAGAAGAAAATCGTATTTCTACGTTTCATCTTTATCACCAGGGCTCGTTCCATCAGCGCTATTTCTTAAAAAAATAAATAAAATTTTTGAAAGCATTTTACATTTTGATGCAATTCAAGACCTGCTATGTGGCTCCTGGTATTCATAATTTATTTGTATTACTTTTGTGAAATGTATTGTAAAAGTGAACAAACGAAAGAATCATCATTTGACAAGTTTATTACAAACATCACCACACAGCCTTACAATATGAATATTCACACTCATCACACTTATGATATACATGTATTAACTATACGAAATCAAAATATGTCGTTTTTACTTATAACCGAGAGGATTGTTGAGCTTTGACTTGATAGGATTTTAAAAGAAAAAAAAAGTCATCAAATATCCTGTTGAATTATTATTTAGCGAAATATTTTTATGTGAACGTTGCATAAAAATATTAAATTACACCATGAATGAATGAGTTAAACCATTAATGTAAAATAATTAAGAAGAATCGTATTATTGTGATTATTAACTTTTTTTTTATCCTAAAATCCTAGAATAGTGATTCCGGATTTTTTGCATCTAGCTTGAGTCAGTCGACACCATCCTTTTAAAACATTATCTTGTTGTTTCTTCATAGTGAGTTATTGATTTTAAAACACCGTCTTTTAGTCTGTTGTAAAGAATAACCCAATATTAATTTTATACTTAATACGTACATACGCTATTTTATTACCTATAACTGCTAAAGAACACAAAAACATTATGGTGAAACAAAACCTAAACATCCCTGAGAGCCTTCTAGTCTTAATCATCACGTGTTCCAAAGTTTCACCATCAGATTTCACCAGTACAGCCATAATGGCAATATTTCTTCATTTGGTAAGTCTTTGCGTTACTGAGCATTAGTTTGTTAAATGCACTTAAAACAAAGCAATGTAACGAAACCAGTGTAAAGAGGCACCTTTCATAATACTATATATAAAAATCATTAAAAATTTTGAATGTAAATTATAATGTGAGAAATTGCCGTTATGTCACCCTTCTAATAAGAGGTGTTTGAAACTTGCATTTCTTCGGTTGAAATCATACACTCAAAGCCCATCCATCGATATGAACGTTTTTGAAAGAAGAGAATATTTCATAGCAGAAAAAGAAGTCTTCCTGCTTTAAAATGCAACTCAAAAGATTTAATGTTTCAACATGTTTGTCACATTTCAATAAAAATGAAGATTTCCTGAATATATGCATTCGTAATTGGAAACGCCATATTCTTACAACTCACAATTTGACCTTGCAGTACGAAAGAAAAAAAAGGAAAGTTACGCCATCCCTAACAACGATTAAATAATTCAAATCTCAATAATTGCTCACCCTGTGTATATTGAGGTATTTCACATTTCTTTGTTTTTTTCTGTTCAAAAGAGCTGATAAAATAAAACAGGAAAGTTCAGCTTATTTTAACAAATGGTTGAATGTGAAAGCTAACATAGAATATCGTAACGTTTGATTTAAAAACACTTCGATATTCGCTACTGTTTCACAGCTAATAATCTCTCGCACAATATTGATCAAGTTTATATCGTCAATTTGAAGCCTTACATTAAAACTGTAGTTATTAGCGAAGTAACTCTAGTGACGACGTTTAAACAACAAAATCTTCTTTAGAATGCACGAAATCACACACATTGCAATGTGACAAACAACATGTATAGAAGCTGTAATTTCGAAATTCTTTCTAACGAACATACATGTATATCGTTGGATAAATAACATTACTTTGACATGCAACCTAGTAACCAAACATAGAAATAGCATTATTTTATACAATAAACTTTTAATATCGAAGTAATTCGAAGAGATTAAAACAAGGTTAAAAATGATACTTCAAAATAAAGTTGTTTAGGAGTCTGAAGGTATCACAGTGTTATGTGGAAATACTTTCATCTGTATATTTAGAAACATGAATTCATTGACAAAATGAATTATTATTTTTTTACACTACCATAGTCTTAATTTTATCTTAACATTATTTTTGTATACAAATAAATTTCTGCACACTTCTTTGAACTTTAATGAATATTGTAATTTTAAACGTTCACTCTATTCTATAAGTAGAAAAATATGTATGACATTTCAATGTACAAAGCCTTATAATTTGTGACGATATGAAAGACAGTTTTTAATATCATTTATGTTTTTCTTTAAAAGAGTTTGAATTTTACAACTGTCGGGGCGAAAAGATTTAAGTTTGTTTATTCTGTGGCCTGAAATTCAACATATTATGCAATGTCAAATTCAACTTTAGAAGTTCGGTCCACTCAATTATAAGTTTCAACAACATAAAAGAGTATAACGATCTCTCTTATTTTATAGCATCAACAAATAAAATAAACTTAATTTGCTTATTCTGTATATAAACATACATACTAAGAATATATTATTTTTGTTTTTGTATATTTGTTTCAGAAATTTCAAAATACAGTGTTGGGCCTCAATTTAAATACTAATCATGAAAAATAGAAACATATTAACATTTGTATTCCATGTTTTATGCAACTGTCATGAGGTAGTTACAGTAAAAGCTAAAAAACGGGATATTATGTACCCATTGTACATAGCTTCACAAATGACTAGCAGTCTATTTGCTAAAAGGATTTTACAGAATATACTCCTCTTATTTTCATAATCTTCACCTTTATATATTTATATTATATTCTAAGATTTCT